GGCAACAAGGTGTACGAGGATTGCGTGGACCGCAAGGAGTACAGGGAATGGTTGGACCTAAAGGCAAGTTTGTTTTTATTTTATTGTGGCTGTTTTTGCATGAGTGTTGAAAATGGGTTATGCATTTGGACTTAAAACGTCCAATAAATAAGGAGTTTTTATAAGTAAACTAGGGGGTTTCAGTACCTTATCATTATACATAAGTTCATGTAATACAGGACAGCTTTGAATCACAGAAGTATGTTTTCTGATAACCAAACAACCCTCATTGAAGCGTCTTGTTACAACAGCTCATTGATCGATGTAAGACATGAGGGCATTTCTATATTATAGTAAGAAGCTGCTCTTGCGTGAACATTCTAGACCCTGCATGTTTATTTACAATTGTAAAATAATAAAAGCACGTACTGTTCCGTTGTGACAGTATATTCCTCCCAACAAACATTTAGGAGTTTTCAGGAGTACGTCAGCAAGTGGTGCACATCATTTGGTTCATGTTCGCGCAAGATTCCTTTCCAATCTGTGCACATGTATTCTTGCTGCAGCCTGGTAGCCAACTGTACATTGTTTTCAGTCATTGTGATTTCCGGTTGGCAATTGTGCGAAAATTTCAAATGACGTCTTCGTAGTACATTGTTGACATTGTCCCCCAGGTGAGATTCATACATTCAACATGGCTTTGTTCACATTGTGATAAAATACAGCTCTATGCCATTGAGAGGATGGTCTACAGAGATGTTAGTTAATTGCCAGCGGTTGGTTGTTTTGTACGTCTACTCATACTGGGTCTTTGCCTTGTGTGCTTTGCATCTATATACTGTTGATTTGACAGTCATGAAAAACACTGTACAATCTTTTCATGCAGAAATTTACAACTTTTCCAGGTTTATTTCCCATAAACAGGATTACGGTAATCCAAAGGATGCAGAAAGAAGAAAAAAAAGTGACTTCTCAGTTATCAGTCACAATTGTAAGATCCTTGATCATTTGTAAAAATTCTGTCCATGATTATTTTTGTAGGCGAGGATGGTGCGAAAGGAGTTCGTGGTCAAGAAGGCAAAGGCATCATGGGTCCAGAAGGACCTCCTGGCAACCCAGGTATGCGTGCAATGTCCTTGTAATTCAATGTAATTTAACTGCTTTCATTCAATAGGAATAATTTTTGTTACAGAGAACATTACATTTTCAGCACTGATCTTTTTCCCTTTGACTAGGAAACATATTAACAGTCACAAAACATAGTAAAGTCACAATAGATGACACATGGTCAAATCATTTATGATAACTTGCAAAATGATTTATTTGTAAAGTAAAATAGCTGCCAAGGCCTGCTAATTTAAATTTGTCTGAAACTATTAGAAATGTTCCCAATTTCAGAATTTTATTGCATTCATTAACACAAAAGTCACTGACATTCCCCGTTTTAGGATAAAATTTAATAATTTCCCTTGAAATTTGTAATAATGTGTCTCTTACACAAAAGTGATTTAGCTCATACTAGCCATGAAATTCACATGTTAGACAAATATGTCTCATTTCATGAACTACGAGTGTGAAAGCATAACTTACCGACTCGTATCATGCATTTCAGGTGTTCCAGGTCCACAAGGTCTTAGCCTACCGGGACGGGACGGCGAAAGAGGTCCCCCTGGCCCACCTGGCATCACTGGTGAACAAGGGCAGGTTGGTTTACGTGGCCCTCCTGGTTACTGTGAATATTGTAACTATGCACCAGGATTGTCACCAATGGGATTGAGCCAGAAGAACATCAAAGGATAGGTAGCAAAATCAAACAATAGAGTAATGGCGCCCTCTATGGCAACTCATTGCACTTGAGGAAAGTAGTACAAACATTCAAATGACTTGAGGTTTTGTCCACTGACAGAAATTATTTTATTTCACACAAAAATGTTAGCATTTAGGTATTTTATTAATTGTCTATTATGATGTGGGAAATAAATTGATGTATTTCTCCATTGGATTTATAAATACTGACATTCGTTTGTCATTTTTCCACTTGTTTTGGCAAGAAACAGATAATTATTTGCGAGACATTCACAATGGTGAATGATTTGCTTGTTAACTGAATACTGTTCGTCGTTTGTACTGTACACATGACTGTCACATGACACAATGTCATTTATTTTTCCCACAAATTCATTCGAGAATTTACGTTATCTGCCTCTTTCCAAAACGCCATTTTTTCTCAAATTTTATGTATATGCTGAAATTGTATTTTATTGCTTGTAGTTGTTATAACCTCAAAAGTCTTTGTATTTTGTTAGCCATCCACCCCTATTTACTACAATGGATTAGCCCAGGAGGACATTGATAAAGGCTGTATGTGGTGGCAGTCTACACTCATCAGTATAGTATGAAAAACAATATTTTTTTTTTTTGTGGCTGCATGACCTGCCAATGTACTTCCATATATGGAGTCAGCTTGGTATACATATGTATGACATCATATCCTGTTTAAAAATGCATTATGGGTAATATCACTCGTGTTGTACAATGGTTCATATACAATAAATTTAGTCCTGGCTGATTAACAAAATTAATTTTGAGCTGGGGAATTTTTTTGTTTTTGCTAATTAGTGATACAAGGTTATCTTGAGAATACCAAAAAATATGCATGAAGGCAGTACAGCAGTCGCATTCTTGTGATAATCTTATTATCAATCAATCTTTGCTTGTAGCTTGATATGGTAATGAAAAAAAGTTTTGTGCATTAGCATTTAGTCATTGTTTTCTATTTCTATTACGGTACAAGGGAAAAATTTGAACGAGTGCAGATTACAGCTTTTTACAGGACAAATCCTATTGTTTTGGGTGTGCCGATTGTAAAATGCTCATCTGAATACAAATTTCTGCCACCTACATGTATTATGTAACATGGTTTAGAAAATAGTCAGATGGTCATTTTAATGTATCGATACTGTAAAGTACGCCATCACTTCAGTGGTAGATTTTTGGCTATGCACAATTTTAATCTCCTCTATAAAAATACAATAAAATTAACGTACAAGCATACTGATCAGGGAAATACCCAAAATTTATCGACTTCTACCTTAACACAGCAGTAGATGTATATGAAGCCATATAATCCAGAGCAACTATCTGTTAAGGGTAGACAGTCTATGTTAAGGGGAGCGCTAAATTTCCAGGACGGAATTGGATGAACAAACAACACAAACTAGGTCAGAATAGTGCGATGTATCAGTACATCAGTCCATCCCAAATTTTAAAATATCTGCAGTTGATGAAAGAGCATTCCAACTCACATTACAACCTCAGGGAATCAGTATTTTGATACAAAAGACCCATAAACAACACCTCCCAAAAAATTGACTATTACACATTGACGATTAAAAACAACAATTTTCAGACGAAGGTCACAAAATATAACTGTCTTGAAGGTACTTCATATAAAGTTTTAGGTGATAGAAGGTAGAAATATTTGTTACCAAAGCTCTGAAAAATTAGATTTTTAGTTCAATAGAGCCTTATTTTAAGAAAAGAAATGTCTACAACATAGTGTCATTCAATTTATTTTTTAAAGGATAGCCAGTGGACTAGTTTATCACACATTGTTCAAAATCAATTTAATGTATAATATTACCCACAATGCTCATTAACAGGATATGACATCACACAACTCCCAGGACTCAAGCAATTAAATTTGTTGAAAAGATTCTTTTTTTTTTTTACCTCAATTTCATTCATGGTGCTATTTGTTAATTTTTTTTTTTATATAAATATATTATTCTAGTTTAAAATCTGAAATATACCACTTGCCTGCGTTTCTGTTGCAGCAACAAATGTACCGTTCATTTTTTTTTCTTCATCTGTGGAAATTTATTTTTTAGTCTGAAATTAGTGTCACTGGTAAGATGCAACCAAAGAGTCAGCTGGCATACGATTAGTGGTAGTAACAAATGCGACCGAGGTATACTATATGAATCGTCCTCCGACACAAAACTGTGGTGACCTCATTTTATAAATCTCAATAAAATTCTCATTTATATTACCACTTGTGGGCCAGCTGACTGTGCATGTAAAGCATAGTCGAAGGGAAACCAAATTTTCATGGATGTCATTCTTTGCCAAACAATGAAATCAAGTTTTTTCATACAGTACACACAAATAAAACTGATTGGCTGGTTTGTTCAAGAGACTGTAAAATCTGCATGTTGCTATAGGAACCAATAAGGCTGTTAAATTTTAATTCATATTTTCGTGACATTGTATTGTTTTTATTGGTGCTAAAGAACACATTAGCGTGGTTTAGTGATTTCATGCAAATACAACTGTCCTTTTTTACATTGCTGTTGGAAAGTTCATTGACACCCTCCCCACCCCGAATGATTGAACCATGCAAGTCACTAGTGAATATTCACTCTGCGCCACTCGCTGTATATACCGTAATATGGAAGAAATCTATATACCCCAAGAGCTGGAAAAATGCACTTCTGCTCAGTGTGCTCTGCAATTTTGTTTGTCTCACAAATCATGCAAAACCGCTCATTCATGATAAAACATAAGGATGTTCAATAATAAAGATATAGTTTACTGGCAACGTAATGAAAATGAAACTTTGAATAATGTTTCATGTCATTTTGATCAGCGGCGACACACAAATCGCGAGTGGTGCCATCTTAAATCCCGCACAACCCACATGTGAACTAATTACTTCAGCGCTTCAATGTTATATGGTTATATCAGTTTTAGTACTTTAGAATACATTATTTTCGATTGGAATTTATTTTCGCTGAAGGGATGATTCCGTGAAAATAAAATCCAGCGAATATACTTTTTTTTCTTATATTTCACATTAAACTCATGAAAAATCAGTGAAAATAAATTCCAAGCAAAACGCCCAAAGAGCCTTTTCAGCGAAAATTAATTCCAGCGAAAATAAAGTATTCCACAGTAAATCATTAAAAAAAATTGCTTGGCTGAGCTCACTTGCCAGGCAATATTATCTGTCGATTTATGTGCAAACATAAGTATAATTGGGGAATGCCCAAGCCAGTTACTTCATGGTATGGTACACCAAGAAAAGTGCCAACTATGTTTACCTGCGAGTATACATGTAGCAATTTTCCTTTAAAATTAGAATGGTGGTACTGGAAATACACCCATAAAATGGCTAATTTGTATGCATGAAATTTAAATCCTGAACTAAATATGTAGTTTAGCCGAGACCAGCTATGCGCAAAGTTTCTTTCAAATCTGTTGAGTGAATTTACTATGTAAACATGTAAAACACGTTGTCAAAATATGTACACTCATTGCATGATGACTACCACTTTTCAATAGTGTTGGTCTATCCATTTAGGGATAAGTTGTTCATTGGAATGTTAGGTGTCAGGAAAATGTAAATTTTATATTGAGCTAGTTTTTTTTTTTTTGGGGGGGGGGGGGCAGGTCAGGAAGAATTGCTCACTCCATGGCCAAGGTAGACACGTCACACGACAAATTAATGTAATTTCATCGCAATGGTGTACATTCAAATAACCCAGGTGTGCATAATATGCAGGCAAGACCCATATCAAACACTCATTAAAATAACTCTTACATCATTCAGAACACGGATGTAGTGGTCATTATGGTGGCAGGCTTAAAGCGAGGGGAGTATCTGTAGTTTACCTGCGCATCCGTCAGATGGCCATAGCGCGTCTGTTTACAAACAAGTGTCTACCCATGAGCCTTTGCATTTTCAGCGAGTGTTATAGTCGCTTGGAACTAAATTCCAGCGTGGGCGCAGGTGATACCCCTCACGCTTAACATTCTCCCATAGACATTACGTGTACGAAACTAAACATAAAATGAAAAAAAAAAATTGCCTTTATTCCTCCATTTAATACAGTGGTAAAACAATGAGAAGCATTAAGCACTGGAACTATGGTACTACAAATTACTGTGAATTTAAAAAACACTGTCCAACAAGACTTTCATGCCTTTCTGGTCATGACGTTCAGCAACCAGCAAATAGGCCAGGTGAACACTACTCAACACTGCTTGGTGGTGGTGCAACAAAGCCCAATGAGTAAGTTTGCCAACTCAACGGCACATGGCGTGAAAATCAAGCCATGATTGCAACAATATGTCAACTGCACAACACAGCATAATGAATACCAACAATGTTGCAACAAACAAGCCATTATGCTAAGTATTAAAACTGCAATGAACTTCAACAATGTTGATGCAACAAATCCTAATAAGCCATTATGCCAGTTAAGCCAACTTGCAAAGATCTTCAACAATGTTGATGCAACATGTTCAGCGTTTTATCTCTGTACATGCCAGAAGCTTAAAAAGACATTTTGGTGTACATCACAAACTTTCACCTAAAAACACCTAGTATTTTGAAATGTAATAAATGTGACACTAACATAGGCCAAAGCTTGTTAAATAACTGTACTCGTGAAACAAGCAATGGCTTACCCCACACACAATTCATAAACTGGTATTTCCTGACATTTTCAGAAATTCCTTTTTAATAATGGACTGTAATACAATTGTAAAGTGAAGTGGGGTTTCACATGTTATACAAGTGCAAGCGTAGGCTTGTTTTTTTTAGAAATATTTAAAAACAATGAAATTTCACATGACCAGAATAATCTTTCAAAAACCACCAAATCCAGGTATAGACAATTTTTATCACTACTTTAACTACAGAATTCATTACAGGGAATTTGCAAGTCTGGGAATGGTGTAAATTTAAAAAAAAAAAAAAATAGAAACTGCCAATTTATTACACGACACTAGATCGCAGTTTAAACTTGAATTTAACTGACGCTACATTAGTTATGTTCATGACGCCCCTAGTGTACAAGACCTGGCAGTTTAAGGACGTTGAAAACAAAAGTGCCCCACTGTTAGTTGCATTTCATTGCACCCCTTAACTTCTTCAATATTCAGTTGGGCCATTTAACTATTGCACCGCTGAACAGTGTACACACAAAGTGTTTTGTTATTTTAAATTCGTTCAGTTTCCTAGTTTATTTAAACTAAAAGCTACTGATTATTTAGCAACGCTGGTGGATGAGCAAATCTGAAACGAGGAAAGAAATTGTTTATGAATTTCCACAGGATTAAAAAAAAAACATGCACAATCAATTTCACAATTCTTGTTTAATTTTTGATTTAGAAAAACAATTGTTGAACTGTTCAGTTATGATGTACTTAAGAAAATAGTGAATAGAGTGCTGAAATGACAACTAACAGCGAGTTCTTCTATCATTGTCTAATCTAGTTTAGCTATATTTTATTATACAAAAAAAAATGCCAGAATTTGTTACATCGTTTTAATTAAAGATAAGCTATAATAATAGTACATATACAGTATTCTAAGAAAGCTTGCATTTCAGACACATGTACATAACTAACAAGTCAAATTGAAATCAGACACCATTGTCAAATAACGATAAGGAAAAAAAAACAAGTAATAGCTATCAAAAGGAGGTAACTTTTTTGCTATTTAACTTTTTTTTTTAAATAAAAATAAACAAACAAAATTAGGCTTAACAAAATGGCTTATGTGGTATGTACCACAGTTTAATGAAATTGGCTACAAAAACAATATAGGACAACTTGTTAAAAACTTGCACAAAAACTTTTCTCAAATAGGACAACATGGTGTGGACATAAAAATGTGCTTTACCTTAGATCCATTTCCATGGTTACAATAGAGCATCACCAAGGTATACAACACATTGGTTGAAAGTGATCACATGGGAATGAACACTTACTGCATTATGGGAAATGATACCCACATATCAATATTTATTCACATACATTAATAATGATCAACTTAATGATTGCTAAGCCATAATTAGTTATGAATAATAACATGGTGCAAATATGTGGCATTTCACCACCACAGACACAAATGAATTTTTTTTTTTTTTAAATCGTCAGAGGCAACACAAAGGCTAAAAAATTGATACCATATCACCATATTTATCCACCCTAAGTTACAGAGTATTAGATTAAAAATTCACCGGATACTGACATTCCTCTCATCTAAGAGCACGAGCTATCTTGTACTTTTCAAATGAAAGTAATGTATATATAAAACTAGACGTACTTTGACAACTACCACATACAAAGGCTGCATAATTTTTGCGTGTGCACATCAGCTACGCTTTTTACAATTAATCCAAAAAATGTGTGACAAAGTCTTGTACATTGCATTACTCTTTAACTTTACACACACGCCTGTAGGAATTTAAAGTCATTTATTTCTTTGTGGCATGATTAGTAAGAAAACGTTGAGCGCAGCTTGGAAGTAAAGGCTGGCAATGTGTTTGGGACCATTAATGTTGGTGAAATGTTGTAGAGATAATATAAAACTTTGTTCAATTCTGAAGTGCAATTCCATCCATCTGAAACGAAATAAAAAAGGCCACAGTTAGAATAAAGATTGAATACACAACTTTGTTATCAAAAGACTACAGCCCATTAAACAGATCTGATAAACAATCTGTTGGCATTGCTGTATAGTTAGACAGTTAAAAATCGCATTCTTTTTACTAACAAGCAGCCTGTCGGCTGAGATAGCTATGCTGTTAGCAATACATATTTCAATTAAAAACAAAAAATATCATTAGAAAATGAACAATATGTATAGTATCAACACACGCAATCAGACTAGTGGTTTTTAACAAGTCCAAATATCACTTTTTACCAAAAATGATGAAAATATTCATAAAAATTAGAGAATTAAAGATGTCATCACGAAATTAACAAATCTCAGAGAGGTCCACAAAGTCGACATAGCAGTGCTAAAAATGACGAAAGTATTTCCTGAAATTAGAGAATTAACAGCATCGTCACAAAATGGACAAATCTGATTGAGGTCCCACCAAAAGTGTCTACATATAGAATATCAAAGCAATGGACAAAATATTCACTGAAATTAGAGAAACACCCAAAGTTCATTGGTTGCGAGCATGTTACCAACACAGCTGATAGTTTTTAGGAAGTCATAAATGTAAAGTTGACACCATCCATACTATGAATAGCTCCGCTCGACTGTGTCAATAGCAGAGCTTAAAAAACCAAGCAACAAACAGCACTCACAATTCTAGATACTTCCATTTCCATTTTCCTGTACATGTTCCACCACCTCATCACCTTCTTTATGTACCACTACTTTCGTAACAGTCATGTCTGGGTTTAATGCTGTTGCTTCTTTGATGGCATCTGCTAAGGCCTGTAAAAGAAAATCACAGTTTTAAAGCAATCCTACACTGACACGATGCATCGGTGTAGAGAGTGATTACTGAACTGTGCTTGCTATTGTTCAAATTTGTACACCTGGAACAAGGCATTAAATTTTAATTCATGAATATTTTAAATATTTTGTCACCAAAGAGTGAAAATACAAGCTTTCAAACATGGTGCCAGCTATCATTTGTTAAAGTTGAGGTTGCCCAATACAGTTTCCCAAACTTGTTGCGTTTGAAGTGAACACACAGGCCTTTTCTCATTAGAACATGTTCTATCACCCATAGGGCAGAAACTTTGTTATATCTTTACAAACTGAACAATACCCCCCCTCCCCTTCTTTTAAATGTTGTTGTAGATGAATTGTTTTAACTCAAGTTTATTTTAAAAAAAAAAAAAAATTCTATATGAATTCTATATCACGTTAACCTAAAACAAGTCATTGAAAATGACACAGTCCCCGTTAAGTTCTCTTTGTGCTCGTCATATTAAAGAGAAGGGGTTGTCGCGAGCGTGTCCTTGAAACTTGAGTTCCAAGTGGCGTATACAACAGATTGTTTATTTACATCAAAACACGTGTTTCGTGTCATAGTAATATGGCCGAAATAAAAACAGCTGTTATTCAGCCATCTTTGATCTGATTATGAAACACACTGACATGTATGATGTATGTACCAAATACGAATGAAAATGGTACATAAATTGTGGAAATATACTGTGGAATACTTTATTTTCGCTGGAATTAATTTTCGCTGAAAAGGCTTTTTGGGCATTTTGTATGGAATTTATTTTCACTGATTTTTGATGAGTTTAATGTAAAATATAGGAAAAATAGTATATTCGCTGGATTTTATTTTCACGGAATCATCCCTTCAGCGAAAATAGCGAAAATAAATTCCAAGCGAAAATAAAGTATTCTACAGTAGTAGTAAGGCCAAAAAGTCAGATGGCTGTCAATCGGCCATCCTTGACCAGATTTTGAAACAAATTGTCATGGACATGCATCCTAACATGTATAAAGTACATGTATGTGCCAAATTTGAATGAAAACTGACAGAGCACGTCCAAGATACTGCATAAAAAAACAAAAACAAGATGCCTGCCAGTCGACCATCTTTGATCCAATTGCGAAATAAATAGTCATGGACATGTATCCTATCATGTATAATCTATGTACCAAGTTTGAATGACAACTGACAAAGCATGTCCAAAATACAACATTTTCAAAAAACAAGATGGCTGCCAGTCGGCCATTTTGAATCGAATCGCTAAACCACTGCATGTGCATATGTCCCACATAAGGTACTAGGCACATGCAAAGAATGAACAGAATCAGTCCACGGGATTCTGAAATATGACGTTGGATAGACTGACGCATGGACAGACGGACACACGGACGGTCGGAGGGACAGACGGACACACGGACGGTCGGAGGGACAGACTCAGGAACTCACGGACGGTCAGGGACATGTATCCCAACATGTATGATCTATGTACTAAATTTGAATGAAAACTGACAAAGCATGTCCAAAATAAGACATTTTCAAAAAACAAGATGGCTGCCAGTCGACCATCTTTGATCCAATTGTGAAATAAATCATCATGGACATGTATCCTAACATGTATAATCAATGTACCAAGTTTGAATGAAAACTGACAAAGCATGTCCAAAATACAACATTTTCAAAAAACAAGATGACTGCCAGTCGGCCATTTTGAATCGAATCGCTAAACCACTGCATGTGCATATGTCCCACATAAAGTACTAGGCACATGAAAAGAATGAACGGAATCGGTCCAGGGGATTCTGAGATATGACTCCGGACGGACGCACGGACTTCGTTCGAACGGGGACTAAAAATTAGACCCCCCCCCAAATTTTGTTTTCTCAAATATGACCTTGTATAGCAATATATTCGCAATACTAAAAGATTCCAAATACTTTTGTGAAACTATTGAGAGCAACCTTAAGTACATGAATGGTTTCCCACCTGATCATGGTCAATATCAGCATCTCCTTGAATTACAATCTTCTTTTCAACACGCGTCTCAGAAACACCACCTTTAACAGTCTGTCAAGATAACATGTGCAAACTTGTTACACACATATATATACATATACATCTAACTATTGCATTTATTGAGCTGCACTAATAACTTTATCATAGATATGTGTTGACAATATTAAAGACCCACATTCAACTGTATCATATTTGATAAGTGCATCTATGTGACACATATAAAGCGATAACTATATTCCTAACAGTTTGTCACTGACATTTAATTTTAACAACTTTATTGCATATTTAATTGTATGCAAACGACAGACGCCTGCAGATGTTCTAGTGACAGAACAAATACAGTATGTATATTACATTCGTGTTCTAATTGCTTGGCTTTTTATCAATTTGTAGTACCATAAAAACTCGATTAATTCGCGGTAGTAAAAATAATTATTTTTTCAAGTGCGCGAACTAATAGCGTTAAAACGGAAATTATTAGTTTTTGGTGCACGAATTAAAAGAGTACTTTTAGATCGATTAAAAAAAGGAGCTGTTTTCATAAATTCGTTAGTGATTTGTTTTGTTTTTCAATGAACACGATAACAGGACGTTGTTTTAGTGCTTCTGAGACTCGTGGCTAGCGACATTCACGGCGTATATTCGGGCATAGAACACGCACCATGTTACACTTGAAATGAAACGGTGAAATGGCAAACGTCACTCTGTACACAAACAAACAATGAACACATGGCTACAAAGTAGCCGTCCGTCTGACTGCACTGCTTTTTTTAAATATTTTTCTAGGCATCGCCCGGGTGATGTTACGGCAGATATTACGAAGCCCATCTTGTCTGGAAAAATAACCCTGCGTTGATAAAAATGGTCTCAGAAAATGTTTAGAAAAAATAATGTTTCGCATTGACCAAATAAAATGCAAAGTATAAATTCAAAGTGTTTTAATACATTGATGAGAGGTCGCATTTTACGTGAACAAGAACATGCACTAAGAAGGAAAAGCAAGCCTAAGTCGAAACGGGGTGCATCATGGACATGATACAACACGCGCTGCGACAACTGAGTGATCAGCAACATCATTTCGGGACGCAATTGAACTTCAAGTACTTCTTTGCGAAATTTGCTGCACGGCGATTCTGACATCAAGTGTGTGTTGACCGAAGTTTGACCCCAAGTCACGCACTGAGCTGGAGCATTACCTTAGCAACCTTTTTCTTTCGTGCCCCGCGCGTCAATATAGTAAAATTGTAATTACGCAACTTGTATGCAACTCTGTACTGGCTTTGAATATATCAACGTTGTTTACTTAGTGCACTGCTTTTCTAATTATGCAAATTTGTTTACAATATTGTACCGACTCTGAATATTTCAACTTTGTAATGTATTGCTTTCATGATAATTAGTTTTTTTTTTAACTATTGTTAGGGTATTGGGTCTGAATATTTTAATATCACCGACTTGATAATGCATTGCATTCGTAATAATTACGCAAAAATAAACATACCATACGTCAAATTCAATTTTACTATAATATAATAAATTCTGGGCAGCGCACTTCGATCGCATCATTCACGTACATTTCGACTGAACTCTAACAACCACACGTTTGAAATACGTGCGGCATTGGGCAATGTCCTCCAGAGCTCACGCACTGATATTTAAATTCGGGCGACCCAGCTTGACACAAATCAATAGTTACTTATCATTTGTTCAAAAAATCTTTCAACTCTCACAAATACCATGGACGCGAAGAGTTAACTGGGGGTTAAATGAAAGGGAACGTCTTTCTTGGACAAAAAACACATCGGTACAAGATTATGTGTGCAAGGTTAGATTTATAGAATGTACGTGACCGCTTAACTCTGTTTTTTTTACCGAATCCAGTGTAATGAAAATGTGACGAGGTCAATCGCCCGACCAACCAAAAACGTCAATTTACGCACCATAGGGCGGTTCACTTAAATGATGTAATAGAATAATGGCGGATACATGGCGATGCATGGATGTACATCCATGGTCGATGCAACCCTGTGAACCAGCGACGAAAAAGCCCTGTACTAAGCTTTCCATCATGGAAATTCGTAATCGATGTGCTGACCGATGGATATTTATCGACTATGTAATAATCTTGCCAAACATCTGTAGTGTCGTGGGGAAATGATTTTTTTTCAGGTCAAATTTTTACTGAACCTAAACTGCTTGCTAACTGAAAGGCTGTGATGACGGAGATCATCTGCGATTGCGGTTACACCAGGTATTGATAACATAACTAAAACAAAATGTATATTTTTAATGTCTTCATGCAATATATTCCGAGTTATCCACTTTATTCTGGCCTGCGAATTAATAGGATACAATTTCAAACATGTTTTTGAACGCTGCGAATTAAAAGGATACATTTAAAAATTAGCGTTCGAAAATAAAATGGGTGCGCGAATTAATAGGGACCACGAATTAATCGAATTTTTTAAGGTAATACTCCACATTGCACAAATACTGCACCACACCCACTTTCTCTGTATAGCCACAAGAGGGCAGTCTTTACCTTTGTTATATGTGTGGTGGTTGTAGTAGTATGCGTCTCACTGGTAATAGTTTGTGCACTCTGAAGTGTACTTGGATCAATGTCAGTATTCTCATCCTCATTAGTTTCATTTGATTCATATGTAATTGTCTTGGTTTCTGTATGCACTATTGGTACATCAGTTGTTGCAGTCGTATCGTCGTCATCTCCCGGCTGGTACTTTAATGCTGCGGTTTTCACTACAGGGGCTGCTTCAAATGAAGGTGTGGCAAGCATCTCTTCATCGTCTTCATCAGCCTAAAAGACAATTGTGTGTAAAGCCGCAGGTCAATCAACCATGGTTATTTCCAACCAAGTACAAATAACCATTACAGGTATACTTTGAGGTAAACGTGAGCCAGCAACAGATGGACTGGCTGGCTATAAAGAGAAAAAGACGGATGACACCTTGAGCTGACTGACAGATGATACTGATGATACCATGAGCTGAAAATGTTAGCCAGGAAGGAAAGACGACACACTGCAACCAAGCAGTTCTAAAGCACAATTATCCATTAGTATACAGTCACGTAATATGCATATTAAGTGAAAAAATGTGATAAGTTGGTTGAAATCTGCGGAGAGTAGAGATATGAGAAATGGCTGAAGGTTACAGTTAGCTGCTTGGGAGGTGAAAGGATGAGATTAAAGCCTTGTGAGAAATCGATGAACAGGCGTGATAGTTAACAGTGAGAATTATAGTTAGTATTGCCTGAGAAAATACAAGAGATTTTAGATTATTGGATCTGAGTAGGTGTGATGTAATCTGATATGCAGAAAAGAAGTGCATTATATGGTTATAACTCTGCTGCTGATTTTGAAATTGTTACCATGCCCCAAGAAAAGGTGTGTTAATAACTACAAGCTGTCTGTTCAAAGTTCTCTCTGTCAAATGGATAAATATAAAACTGTCAAATTGATTGAAATTTTTATTGCACAAAAACAATTGTACTAAACAGGAACAAATAATGTTCTGTTCAACAAGCTGCAGTGTATCTGAGGTTCAGGGGACAATTTCTGGAAATTTGCTAATGACAAAATACTTTACATTTTTATTTTTTGTTCAATTAGAAAATATCATTTCTACATTTGCAATGATATGTTTAAGTTCATGAAATTGAAAAGAGTTAAACACAAACGAAAATAAAAACATACGTTGGAATTGCTATAAATTATAAGATTGTCATGCCAAAATCTTCCACAGTTGAAAGTTGTTTAATTTCAGGAAGAAGTTCAACCAAAAAAAAATAAATCATGTTGAGCGAAAATTATCACTACTGACGGAGAACATTGAACAGGGTTTTAGTGCGTTATTTCACCTGTTCAGCTAAGTATTCATCTAAATAACTTGGAGCCGTTTCTTCAGGCTCCTTAGTATCAGCAACATTGTCATCGTCTATCTCCTCATCTGAAGACTGCAGACAAAACAATACAGACATCAACACAAAGTTTTCAATATGACCATTTCAAAATCTTAGAATACACTCTAAAGATCAATTTATGTGGTTGATTTATCTGATCACCTTAGAGTTCCAGTACCGTAGGTTCGATTTTTATAAAAATATGATCAGATGCAATATTTCGTGGTTTACATGATCAGAGCTTTGCAAGACCAGAACATGTCCATATAAAAAAATGGCCACATGAAATGTTAATAACGTTGCATTCAATGAACAGTACAGTAGCTATTTTCTATCTAGTCAAATACTATGAGAAATGCAGTGCGAGTTATTAAACTACTGTAGAATACTTTATTTTCACTTGGAATTTATTTTCGCTATTTTCACTGAAGGAAAGATTCCGTGAAAATAAAATCCAGCGAATATACTTTTTTTCCTATATTTCACATTAAACTCATCAAAAATCAGTGAAAATAAATTCCATACAAAATTCCCAAAAATCATTTTCAGCAAAAATTATTTCCAGCGAAAATAAGGTAATCCACAGTATACAATATTGATGAACATTGCAATCATTAACATGCCAAACATGTTACGTATCGGCAATAATGTCAGTGTGCCCTCTAAATACAAAGTGACTATTATGATTAGCTTTTAATGATGTCATCACTTACTAAACAATTACCTTTCCTTGAAGCAATTATTAAACAAGCAGTTTTGACAATTCCATTAGTTCACAATGGTATAAAAATAATTTATTGTAATCTGTCAAGCATTTATCACTTGCTTAAATTTGGGTTAATTTGTTCAATTTTCTGTAATTTCCACTGAATTCAATCATAATTTTTTACTAAACAGGCAAAATGCGACATCACTTCTAATTATTGACCAACAAATTTGTAATTTTCGCAATTTTTCATATGACTATAAATGGAATTATTTTGCGGATGGTGTCTGAAGTTGAGTTTGGCGCTCAGTAAATGATGACATCAAAAGCGTAACAACTGTTGCCATTGAGACATGCCATACCAAGTGCATGTAAGAATGGATTGTTATCTGGAAATGAAGATGAAACGGTGGTTATATAAACTATTTAAACTGTGCACACCACACAATGCGCTTGCTATTCACCTGAGGAGCATAAGGAGCAACCGCTGGACCACCATAGTCGGGATAACTGCCAGGAACTCGCTGCACAGATGTTTGAATAACTGTTTCCTTGGTTATAACCGTGCCATACTCTCGAGGCTAGATACGATTACAAAGACGAAATCAATATACAAGTTAGAATTGGAGAGAAAGCTATTTATATAAAATACACTGAAAAATTCCAGTATTCAACCTCAATTTGAATGAAATGTTATTTCTCAGCTCCAAACTCATTTTTGAACCTAATTAGTTTTATCGATTTACCTGTCCCTCTGGAGGAGGTACTTCTGTAGTATAAGTTCGTGTTACAACAGTGTTATCTTCAGGATCGAATTGGTGTGGCATACCACCAACAGGGACACGACCTCTTACAGGAGATTCCGTTGTTTGCTTAGGCTGAACAGTAAGAAAAAGTAAGAAAAACAGATACATAATACAAATAATGTTCCAATTTACTATATCAGCTGAATCTATGCTTATGATTGAAGACAATTTGGGGACCAAGGACCAAGTTTTTTGTTTTTTTTCACTTCTGCAATGGAGGATTCTTTAAAATAACACATTTCCTTAAAATGGTGTCAGCACTTGAAATTGAAGTTGCACTTCTATTTACAAGTGCAACTTTGTTTTCGGATCTGAAACATTCCAAATGGTAGACAATTTAAAAAACAAACATTTGCTTACCCTTACATAGCATCAAAAACAGAATTTCACATTGACTTGCATCTTATGCCATTTCGCTAGTTCATACCCCCCCCCCCCCAAATATAACAACTAATTCAGATGATATTAGTATTGAACATTACACTAACTGATAAACTGTTTAATGCAATGAAATGACGACTGGCATCTATGGAGAATACAGAGTAGATTCAATTTGGAGTGAGTAAGTTTCACAAATGACAACATTCCATTAGACCTACATGCAGTGGTTCAAATTTTGCAAACATAGCATTAACTACTCTTAGTTTAAGTAATTTATCACAGGGCTACAAATTCACTAAGACCATGGGGGTGATTTCCTTTTAAAATCAAATATTCAAAAGTTCAATCGCTCAAATGCATTTTTTTTTGGAAAATTAGGGGTACCCTCGAAATGCTGAAGTTATACATGCAAAAAAAAATTGCTCCACCAACATGTTTTTCAACATTTTTCAATTTAATTTTATCGTCAATATTTTTAATGTATTTCAGCACACTTGTTAAAACACAGTTAAATAATAAAATGGTTGGACAGCAGCATAATATAAAAGCTTTATTCAAAACGCTTCCTTACTTTAAGTGTCAGTGCAAGATAGTATCAGCTAAATGGCCAAAACAAAGATACATTTGTGTATGGCCATGAAGAAGAATAAAACCGACCAGCGGGGAAATAACAAAGCACTAATATGGAGAATAAAAAACAGGAAGTTTCAGGTTCAACCCTTCCCTCAGCAAGGCCATATGTGCCATATGCCTTTACTATGGCCCTGAAGTGTTTTTATTTTATCAAACTACTTGAAGCACAACATTAATTCCAACTGACAAATGTAAATTAGATTAGTTAGTTTTCCCGATTCTGCTTTCATTTTTTACTCTGCGGAAATTGTAGACAAAACTTTCAATCCAACAAACTCATTAAAAACAACTGCACAATTCCAGTATAATTCACCATAAAGCATTAAAGAGACATTTCTCAAAGCATTAGAAACTGTTAGTACTTGGGCCATGCATAGTGTAGCATTACAATTTCTAAAAGATTCACCTGTCCTGTGCCATATGCCTGAACTAAATAGTGTTGGTCTAGATCAGTTGATCTTCCTACATGCACTTGTTGCTGGTGATCATAAGAAACTGGCCGGAGAACGGCCAAGTTAGGTTTGTGATAGCGCTAAAAGTAAGAAACACAGGAAGAAAGAAGTACTAGGCAAATGCAATAGTGAGAGGATGCTGAAAAAGAAAATGCCATCATTCGTGAGTATGAACAGTGCCCCCTATAAGACAATGGAAATCAGTACAGGTTAAAAAGAAAATGTTACTCACACTTAAAAGAACAATAAAAGAAAGCAGTCATTTATCTGTAACAGAAGACAAGCAAGGGAAATAACAGAAAGATCCATAAGAGATTTATAGATGCAAAAACATAATTATCGTCTCCCTACCTCATCCTCTGGTTCTGGTTCTTTGTCCTGATCATCAGTTCCAACAGGATAACCATCCCGGACATGACTGACGGTTGTGGTTGTAGTTTTCATTTCATAACTAGTACCCCATCTGTGTGGACTTCCTTCCTGGTTTTCATCACCCGGCTACAAAATAAGCAAATGGAAACAAAATAGTCACTAATTCATATTACCATATACAGCATTAGCGATATTTGGCAACACAGTTGATGTAATGGACACCCCTACCTTAGATTAACTTCCCTAGCAGCAGGAACATATTCTTAATTGCATGGTTACAAACATTTCAAAACATCAACGCAGAGGAGAGCACAAAAAACATTAAATGTTTGCGATGCCTTTACTCCACTTCACACATGCAAGTGCAACATTATTGATTTCAGAGCAGCTGCAATTTTATTCTTGTTTTGTCTGCGCATCTCGGCATGCAGTCAGGAAGTATCTTTTAAAATCGTTTTCAGTTATGCTGCTATAGATCTACTCTAAAATGCTCTTCACTTTACTTCACTTCAATTTTCATGTTTTTAATAGATACGATATACTGTAAAATACTTTATTTTTGCTTGGAAAAATTCAGTGAAAATAAAATCCAACAAATATACCTGTTTTCCTACATTTAACATTAAACTTGTCATAAATCAGTGAAAGTAAATTTCATACAAAACACCCAAAAAGTTTTTTCAGTGAAAATTAATTCCAGCTTAAAAAGTATTTTACAGTAGTTACGAGTAATTTTTTACAAACAGATCCAAATACACAAAGCAAAGTTGGAACATGAGTGGCATAGACATTCCAGAGATGAAAGAACTTTTGAATACAGCCAAACAAGGGAGTGTAGGAAATCATACTGTTTACCGACAGATACAATATGACCATTTATAATGCAGGTAAATTTGTCTTGATTTTTACTATTATTAAATTCAATCCAAAATTGAAAAAAAAGTATAAATTTGTTAAAATAATCATTCAATACATAGCACTAGCATGGTTAACTGTTGGATTTTTTTTATGATGCAAGAATCACAAGGCATCCCAGAATTCAATACAAGCTGGATGTTCATGGTGGCACGCTGGTCGCCCATTAACGATTTCTCAAAAACACAAAAAACATTCTTCAAGCTTGTTTGCAAATCAATCTGTTAGTGTATAAAACCTGGAAACATAGTGCTACTATAAAGACGAGGTAAGATGAATGACATGCATTGATACAATAAGAGTTTAAGCTAGTGAAAACATACTGAATTGGTGGAACATGCAATGATTTGATTCAACACACTCGTACAGTCAATAGGAAAATATACTAGATCAGGACTTCTCTGGTCTCTAAGGGTTTGACGCCGATCTTTAAAGCATTTGGGGTGGAGGAGACGATACTTAGTCATTGAGAATAGGTAGTTTTATACAAAAGAATTTAGTTTTCCAGTTTCAGTTTTGTACAGAACAGGTATTCTAGGCATTCAGGGCAAAACATCCATAGATCATTACCGTACTGAATGGCAATAGTCAAGGCAATTAATTGTAAATAAATAAACAAAAGGTTATGAAATAAACCCGCCATTTCTTGCTCACCCTCACACTGTGCATGATCAGTGACCAAAGAACTGGAAACGTGTCCATTGATCAAAATTACATTAACTGGTCTTAGTATATTTACCTATTAACCTTGCAGACATACAGACATCATGCTAGCACAGTTAAAATAGACATTCAACATAACAAAACGCAGGGTGTCAGAAGCGCTATGGTGCTTGGCAGGAGAAAAAGTGAGTGGAAAGTTTATCGAACCTTATGAGTGTAACCAGTTTCCCCATCATATTCCCCTTCATCAGAGGTTGCATCCTGCTATTGACAAGACATGGAAAACGAGACAAGGAAGCAAGAGAGACATGATGCTAAGAGAAGTCTAATAGATTATACAAGTCTAAAATCTAGCAAAAGTTAATATAAAAGACAGAGGAAGCTTTGAAACTTCTAATAGTTTAACCACTGGATGTACAAGATGATTAAATTTGTACAATTCGTATTTGCAGATACATGTACAATAAAACTTCTATTTTTAAGAAGCATTATTTTAAAAGTTGACCATTAGAAACTTGGAGGCAAATGATAGCAGAATTAGAAAAAAATAAATTCCATGAGGAAAAAAAAAAAAAAAATCAGGGAAAAATCCTGCTAGGGAGCAAGAATAGAAAAGAAATCCTTCACTCCTAAATTTCAGATAAATATTTAACAGTGAGGAAATTACAGCTAATCTATCATTGGGAAAAAATTAGTACAACATCACCCCAGCAGAGTTCCTAATGGACCACTCTTAGCAAATGTGTTACCATTCAAGATGTAGCTACTGAATTTGCTCTATTCGAAGCACATGTCCACAGAGATGCACTCGTGTATAAGCTGGCCTGTTTTGGTGCATTTTAAGTTAACCAAAATGTAATTGGCTATTATTCATTTATTATTACTTTTAACAAGGCTTTTGCATAAGTACATGTGCTGCCAATATTGAGCAAACACAGAACTGCAACATTTGTATTAGCTATTATAATCCAGACTCGGCTCATTCATGCATCCAGTCAAATTGGCTAAAATGGCATGCAATTATTTCAATTATTTGAGTTGCACACTGTCAAAAATCAGTTTAACTGGCACATTTGATATGAACCAGTAGTATATTCTGTTATTTTTAGTTAATACACTCTTAGTTAATCCATGGTGAAATGTACAACTTATAAAATATAACGCATTTTATCTAAACACATATCACATCAATTGTTGGGGAATAGAATGCATACATATGAACAAAATGGTTAGGGTTGGAAGGTTTTCAGTTGTGTCTCGCCCACAGTACCAAGATGAGCTAGCTTTAAAGAGTGTGCAAACATACCAGGATGAGCTAGCTTTAAAGAGTGTGCAAACATACCAGGATGTGTGACCTTTAGGGTTAAGCAAACATACCAGGATGTGTGACCTTTAGGGTCAAGCAAACATACCAGGATGTGTGACCTTTAGGGTCAAGCAAACGTACCAGGATGTGTGACCTTTAGGGTCAAGCAAACGTTCCAGGATGTGTGACCTTTAGGGTCAAGCAAACGTACCAGGATGTGTGACCTTTAGGGTCAAGCAAACAGGATGTGTGGCATTTTGATTTGTACAAACATACCAGAATGAGTGACCTTTTTCAGGATTTGCAATCAAGAATGTGCGACCTTAAGCAATATGCAAGGTATATAACCTTTAGGGTCATGCATAGGTACCAAGATGAGTTCCATTTTGGGTCATGCATAGGTACCAAGATGAGCGGCTGATCTGCACTGGCTCGGAAGATGAATTCTGATTGGCTAAAAAAACAAAAACTTGTGGCGTTGAATGCACGTTCATTGTCAGTATTGTTATGCAAATTCAAACTAGCTAATCATTTACAACCTTCCGAGCCAGTGCAGATTAGCCCAAGATGAGTGCCATTTTGGGTCATGCATAGGTACCAAGATGAGTGCCATTTTGGGTCATGCATAGGTACCAAGATGAGTGCCATTTTGGGTCATGCATAGGTACCAAGATGAGTGCCATTTTGGGTCATGCATAGGTACCAAGATGAGTGCCATTTTGGGTCATGCATAGGTACCAAGATGAGTGCCATTTTGGGTCATGCATAGGTACCAAGATGAGTGCCATTTTGGGTCGTACATATATAAATACACATACGGAATATCTATTGTTATATCACTGCAGACTATTAAAATCTTTGCGAAAGTAACACAAAAACTGTTTATGGTTAAAAATAATCAAAAATTCAAGCATGCATGAACTTAATACACTGCATGGCATTAATAATGTATGGGTTAAAATTTATACAATCATCTCAAATGTTTAAATCATCCAAACCACTGATAACTGATTTTAGTTATGCATACGTTAAATAGTCAAGCAGAAAATAAAGAGACTGACGTACGATAGACTTCTACAGAGCACAGGTTACAACAACGAGGAAATAAACAAAAGAAAGGGAAATAAATAAATATAGAAAGCAAATTAACAGTAGTGCAGACAAGAAACACTCAAGATCGTGTTTGCTTTTCATGTACCGTAGTTGTCCTAGTATAAACCCCTGCTCGAGTATGAGCCCACCTCCAAAGTCATTTATCCGATATTCATCATTTTGCCGTTTTCCTGGGGAGGGGGGTATACTCTGACAACTATGGTATATATTTCCCCATGCTGCATAATTGTATGCCAGAGAGGAAATACTTTCTACATTTCAACATCATTTACATATTCAAAACCTGCAAATTGTGGAAGGTACCATATTTATATCATATTCAAGCTGTACTGTCCCAATTTAATGGATACAGTAATATAACAGATTTAAAATTTAGTGTCCACGTGTGTTATTAGATTTCAAAATAGTTTTCTTCATTTGAACCTTCAAACCCGAGCAAAAACTTTGTTTCATCCCTAATTTTAAATGATAAACAGTGACATGGATGTATAAATTCATCTATTATTTGACACAAACACAGCTTTCACAATGTTTTAAACAGTTCAGGGGAAGCTTGTCAACAAAGTCACATGAAATTCCCTCTCCCATCCCCCTGCAAGCACAATAGATTTCTGTGAAGTGACCATTTATGAGCGGGGCAAGCGGGAGACATGTGCATGTGAAGACAGTGAAGATGATGGATGGGGTTTTATTCAAATATTTCATCTCATAGGAAAAAGCTAGAGATAGAGATAGAGTGAATACTTATCAACAGATTGCATTGATTATCATTACCATATTATGTAATATCACTGGGTAAATATGAGATATTGCACCTGAGCAGAGAGGTTCATCTGCCTTATGTTAGGAAAGCAAAAGTCCTTACGAGAAGTCACAAATGCCAATAATGGAGTTGTAGCATTTTTGTTCTACATGCGCCTCTCAGATGATTATATACATGAATTTCATTCTCAGAACAAACATCACAGTTACCAAAATCAAGCAAAACTTTTGCAAGCATCACTATCTTAAAGAAGCATTCTCTGTGGAGAAACTGCCCATGCAAGTACAATATACGCTTCACTGGTTCGCAAAATATTCACATTTCTATTCTCAACCACGTATCAATGTGTGAAAGAATGCAATAAATGGTTGGAGGCCCCACTCCTTACATATATAAAGATAAATAATACGAATACAATCAATGCAAGTGACATGCTAGGGTACCTAAGAAGACGTATTGGATTTGTGGTCTACGCGAGTATGATAAAACTACGATGAGAAGCAGAATATCAAATTGATATCACAATGAAGTTCAAGCCATGGACAGGGTTCAGCAAAAAGCTAATCCCATGAGCTATACACTCAATAAGAGCTATTCAATTGGTGATTTTCCGTACAATTGCGAGATCTCACGAGATGCATGAAAGACGCGCGTCGAACGTCTGCCACAAAAATCAAACGATTTGATTTTGAACTTGAATTTCCTTATTACGTAGCTCACACCGACCGGCCGATCTTCGACAGAGGAATATTGCTTCCGAATACCCTTACTTAATCGAAATTGCTTATCATCAAATGTGGACAGCACATTATTAAGCATGGAAGTGTCCCCAAAATACTTTCGCGTTTGTCGAATCCCACGCGATGTTGACGCCACTACGACGCTATGACCTTTGTTTGTCCTGTTTTTACGTGATTCTCGCAGTGTACGGAAAATGGTCTATTGGTGCCAATTATTCTATATCACATCACATGTTACAGAAACAACAAATATGCCACATGTTTTTGATGGAGGAAGCGAATTTACATTCAGCACTTGATTTAATTCATGCTACCCCTAGCCCTGACAAAGCATGGGTTGGCATGATTATATGCAACGAGGATACAGTCTCAAGGAACAGCATGTCAAATCATGGGGCTTTTATATTTGTCATTTTCTTATTTTAACCGAAACAATATTGCTGCACACTTTAGTCAATTTCCTTTTTTGTTTCTTTTTTTTTCAATCAAAATTGAACTAAAAGATCATGTTGAACTGAGATCGCAATTTAAATAGACTTAATGGCAAATAATTGCGATAAAATATCAACATTTTGGTTTTAAAAATTATCATCACGTAAACGTGCTCTATTCAGAATTGGAGTACTGTATACTTGGATAGTCATCACCATGGTCACCAAGATTATAACATATAAACTAAACATCAGCAAATAACGCTAGGCATGGCAAGCATTAATGTAACGATCGCAATGAAACACAGTTGGCTGGCGTGGGTGATGTTTTTTTGTTAAACGTACCCTTGACAGGCCAGCGTCGTCATTGTCGAGCTCTTCCTCCGAGTCAACACATGGCACAATCTGCTTGGAAGGAGGTCAAGACTACACATTAGTTTACAAAATAGACAAAACTAGAATTAACAAGAATGTTAAGTTATTAAGTGCAGATCTACGTAGAAGAGACTAGTGGTTAGATTATAAGGTTATTGAAAGATATGCAATTTCTTTGGGTCACATCACAGGGAAACAAATCATTTAAGTGAAACCCCCTTACACACCATCATTTCTTTGTAATGCTATTCACAATAGACAAGTTTTAAGTTACAAATCACACACCCTCACCAGAGTACGTAACTTTCTGAAGCAACAGTAGAACTCAACACTTGTACATTGTAGGTAAGCAATGTTAATGTAAACCAGTTTGATTAGGTGTGATCATTTTCAGGGACAAGAATTGACAAGCATGGCCTGCACAAAATTGTTGATTCAGCAATAAATCAGCAATTTTCATCAGCAGAAATAATTTATTATTTTTTTTGGTTTTACACAATATACATCTCAGAACTCGTAAACTTGTATTATTATCTAACAGTTGAATTCAAGCTCAGAATTATAAGAATTTTTATCTCCCTGAAACTTGGACTCTTGAGTTGATACAAAGTTACTGGAACTTATTATATAATTGCACTGTGATGAGATTATAATTCATTTAATGATATTTACAAACAAATACACAAATGTCATTTATCCAGATATCCACCCGTTGATTTTTTAAATTTAAAAGTTTTCACTAACAAATGTCATGTTTTACCATATTCAATTAGTTATTGCTCATTCAAATATATTAGGATCTCATCAGAACAGATCTCACCAGTTGAAGAATACTTAATAGAATTATTTAAACAGTCATGTGAAGATGCTTACCCGCGTTTCGTCTGGTTCACCACCGGGACCGGGACCTCCACGCTCGTTGTCGGCAAATGGGACTTTTTCATCAGCCACTGGTTGAACATCATCCTTATTTGGCTTTGTTTCATCTGGTCTATTTGCATCACGCGGTGGACCATAACCTTAACACAGCAAAGAATTGGTACTTAAGTATAAGAAAGGCATGTCCAAGAACATTTTGAACATACTGTCAAACATCAATTATTCACTCATTTTTAATTTTTTAATTTTTGCTGATGAGTAAAATTTGCTAAATTAAATTCACATGAACATAGATTGTCAATTTTGTGAAATATAATCCCAGTAAAAATCAATCATTTAAAAGCATGTTCAATACATTCAAAAACAAGTTTGCACAATCACTCTGCACTGATACCTCTTTCTCAGTTTAGCCCCATTTGTTCTGTTAAGCAAACCACCAATAGAAGAGCATTTTTTAATTGTTCGTCAAATGAGGCAAAACGTGTTCATTAGTAGTAATCATCTACATGAAGAAAATCAGAAAAGGGGAATAACTTACCTCCATCAAGACTATGAAAGCGCTTACTGCTAATACGCTCAAATGCAGGCGAAGGGCGGTCAATAAGGGCATTGGTTTGACGAGTCTGGAATTGAGTACGTCCACTATAACGAAACTTGGATCCGAGATGGAATAATTTTCCTTTCGGTGGGGGCTCTGGTTGGACTAACCTACAAAAATAAGAATATGACATTATCTGACCCCATGGTCACTACCTGCTGGTTTTGGAAAAATAGGAGTTGCAATTTTGGATATTTATTATCACTCTCTCCCCAATTTCTGTGAGCAAACCATCTGGGCACTAATTTGATCAGGCCCAACTTATTAGAGCAATGCGTTTGGTGCAACCATTGAGAATGTTCACACAAGATTCACGATTTTACTGATTTTTTTTTTTCATTTGTCGCTGGCAATAATGACGTGACTTGTATTCTTACCTGAAGAAGGTGTGATGTTCCACACAAACTTTCCAGAGTCTTTTTGCAGCCCGGTGATTGGCTAGTTTAAAACCAATGGTACTCTCAAATTGTTCAAACTATGCATGGAGAAAAGGAGAAAAAACATTGCGTGTTCATTGACTATCTTGTAAGTATGACAACAGGATTTCTAAGGTCGCTTGATACAAGGATATTTTATGTTTACTCTCTTACCTTGATGAATCAAAACCTAATCAATGCAACATGGTATGACCACTATGACCATGGTTCTCCACTAAGTACTATAGAGGGAGACCCAACACTTATTTTGGATAAACAATAGAGTCTGATCACCACGACTATGAACATGTTACATTGTTATTCACACTACAGTATTTTTCTGCTGATAACACTACCAGGGATGACACATCTAGTTCCACAAATCCAGAGATACAGACTGAAGCAACGAGACGATATAGGCGATATGGACATATGCAACTCAAATTCAGTACACTAAAAAAGATTATTCTTTTGTTAAGAGAATCACTCAAAGCCTTGGAGAAGATTGCTTTGATGATCATTTATTTGTACGAATATCGCTATTTGTGTAGTTTGTTTGTCAAAGTAACCTGCAGCATGGAATTATGCTAAAAAACATGGTACATATGGACTGCGTTCTACGGTACACGTGGACCGCATTCTACGGTACGTGTGGACCGCGTTCTACGGTACGTGTGGACCGCGTTCTACGGTACGTGTGGACTGTGTTCTACGGTACGTGTGGACTGTGTTCTACGGTACATGTGGACAGAGTTCTACGGCACATGTGGACAGTGTTCTACGGCACATGTGGACAGTGTTCTACGGCACATGTAGACAGTGTTCTACGGCACATGTGGATCGTGTTCTACGGCACATGTGGATCGTGTTCTACGGCACATGTGGACCGTGCTCTATGGTACATGTGGACCGTGTTCTATGGTACATGTGGACCGTGTTCTATGGTACATGTGGACCGTGTTCTATGGTACATGTGGACCGTGTTCTATGGCACATGTGGACCGTGTTCTATGGCACATGTGGACCGTGTTCTATGACACATGTGGACCGTGTTCTATGGTACATGTGAACCGTGTTCTATGGTACATGTGGACAGTGTTCTATGGTACATGTGGACAGTGTTCTATGGTACATGTGGACAGTGTTCTATGGTACATGTGGACAGTGTTCTATGGTACATGTGGACAGTGTTCTATGGTACATGTGGACTGCGTTCTATGGTACATGTTGACTGCGTTCTATGGTACATGTTGACTGCGTTCTATGGTACATGTGGACTGCGTTCTATGGTACATGTGGACTGCGTTCTATGGTACATGTGGACTGTGTTCTATGATACATGTGGACTGTGTTCTATGGCACACATGCAGATATATGATGGGTGGAGAATAAAACTGCTACACTCCTAATGATCAGAAAAACCAACGACAAACCTCAACGATGAGTACAACACTTAAATGTGAAATGTGAAATGTGAAAGAGATTATACTACTGATGAACTTAGAATCCTGTGCTTATGTCTGTTAATAAATAATGCAATTTGCTAAGGTAATAACAGAATGATACAATGTAAACGTGAGCCTCCACTAAAAACAACACAAGAAAAGTCAGACATGTGCAGGACACCACCAAGAACTCGTGGAGAGCAAGAAAGCCAGCCCTGTTTTCGCCCTTTGTAACCACAGTAGTGGATACAACGGAGGAAAATGATTTGCTGGGCAAAAAACCAGTCTTGTGATTCTCTCTCAATGAGAATATTGGACGCCATTTGCATTCAAGGTCTATTGACCCAATGGTTTCTGCGAAATTTTAGCCCCAACCTTATTGAGCTGAATTAGTGAAGACGCGCGTGTATGCAAGTGTACAGAGACTATACGAGTGCAACACTGATATAGCAGTGCAGTTATATGTATGTTAACTAGCAAAGCCATCATGCACAAACAAAACACACCGACATATCGGAAGACGACACCACAGGACAACACTGACATGTACATACACATTGTAATCTGCAATATAATGAATTTTTAGACAACTTTTGCCAAAAGTCAAATTAAGGGATTGAACCAGGTCATTATGATATACCAGTGGGCGTGCTGTGTACACTTATCTTCTTCCAGAAAGTAAGACGAGTATGTATATTAAGGTCTGCAACTATCATTATTTTCTTTAAAATCAGTGCATTTGAATATACTCAAATCGCCATAAAGCTTGAGTGAATGTTACTAGAGTCCGAGTCTGTGTGAAAATTGATGGAGAAAGTTTTCTGCCAGTGGGCAAGAGTTCAAAAAACATTAGACAATTTCTAGAACTCTCAGATTAATTACAGCAGCTAGGCGAGCATTTATTGATGTGTGTACTGAAGCCAAGCACCACAATGGCATGTCCAGAGAAGAAATGAATCTGTTTACAATGAAATCACAAGTTGGTATAGAGAGGGATGAATGAATGAATGAATGAATGGAGAACAATAACCACTAAGGTAAAATCATGCAGTTTAAAGCACAAACTGCTATAAACAACCCAAAAACAGCCACAGGGCAATAACCTTGCATGGTACTGTGGCAGTCAATGCGTTGAAATACAATCACTAAAACACAATGCAGCACACAGTCAAAGCAGCATGCTTTTTAGTACTGGGTGAAACACTAAAACAGCTTGCAAGTGACAAGTTTATTAACACCACGATTCCACAGTCCTTCCTTCCTTCCTTCCTTCCTTCCATCCTTGCACACATACAAGCATTGTCTCGTATGACTGTAGACCTGAAACGTCCTACCAAACAAAGATGGTCTGTGGAGTCCTGGCACATTTTAGCCAAAGAGTCATGCATCAAATCTTCGGAAAACGGCTGAAACAATAAAAAGGGTTCTTACTACCTCTCCTGGCCGGATCTTAATGTAGAAGTTGTTTCTCTTGTACGAGATCTTAAGAATCTTAGGCCAAGCAAAGCGATTGATTCTCAGCCTGTCACGATAAATCAACAAGCCATTTGCACAGACACCAAGCATAATATCAACACCTTCTGAATCCTGGAATCAAAACACAAAAAAAATGTGAAGTTGAAATTTAAAAAAAAAAAAAAAGTTTAACATCCAAGTTAATTTTTGCCACCATTCACAAAACAAAACCACATAATTTTTTCGATATTCTTCAAACATTTTAATTTCATACCAGATAATGGGAAAACTATTTGGTCAAAAACTTAAATAATAGAAAAATATGCAAAATTTGGAGAGGAAAATTAATTGGTTAAATACAAAGAAATCAATGAAAATCTGAGTATCATACTAATACATCATTGACTTGTGCAGAAAATCTTTTCAAGCAGCGCCCTCTATGGCAAGATTTGCATATTACTGTATAGTGCTATCCTCGGGGCGGAGCTACATCACAAGACGTTCCATGTTGCTACGACGCGCACCACTGTTACATGCATTTCTATGGGCTCTGTGCACGCTGCTGTGGAACGCCGGTCGGGCCAGTGAAAATTCGAGAAAACAACACAAACTCAACTTTGAAGTAATCCTGAACAACCAAATTTATATATGTTACACACGTAGGGCTAATCTTGTTTCACTGTTCAGAGGAGTCTCAACAATCATCCCAAAGTACAGTTTTCAGCGAGTTTTTGGTCTTTGTTTTCACCGCCACGGGTTGCTAGGCGGTGAAAATGCCCGGATGTCCGCCCAGAGGATACTGCTCTCTCTTTAATGAGGAATACAATTCACAGTACAGCAAATGTGATTTTGGGTTTGTATGCGCTTCTATTCGACTTGCACTTCTCAGAGAAAATACGGTAGCTGAGTTTTATTTTCGCTTATTCTACCATCAGTTCTAAATTAAAATCCAGTGAATCTTTCAAAAGTAAAATAAAAAGCGAATTTGCAAAAATGGCTGAAATTGAAATGTTTAATCCGTCAACATTAAAAGAACCCAGTGAATATTCCTTCTATGGTAACATGGACCACTAATGGAAATAATGGCAATTGATTTATAATTGAATTACACAAGTTGGGCTGTTCAACTTGATAAAATCTAGGAATATCACAGCAGGAATAAATCTTTTCTCATCAGTAATCACCTACAGATGTTTTTCCTTTCCCTGGGCATGTATAGCAACAGGGGTCTATGTTTTTGAACTTTGAATATTGGGTAATTTGAACTGGTAGTGGTTGAGCATAGGACTCCGCTTTCATGTGAACTTAATACACAAAAACAGCCAATGTGTTGGCGCTGAGCAGTCAAGTTTAATAATTGATAAAGGCCTATTGATACTGAACTCTTGGATGTGTAACTTGTAGGGGATCACGTATTGGAAGTCTCTCATGAAACGTTACATTGTACAAGGGGGAAGGGGAAAGGCACCAATAATTCACTTACCCGAGCATGATGTAGGTCCACTCCGTACATTGCTAATTTCTTAGCATTTTCCAAATAATGGAGTTCAGCCTCTGCAGGAGTTTGACCCCTAAAAATAGATGATAATAAACATGTAGAATTAATCTATTGGAATATGCTGTTAATGATGTATCTATTTTGTAATTAGTTCTGTAAATTCCAAGTTTAAAACCTGTGAAATACTTATGTTAAGATGGAATGATATTGAATCCTACATTTGTAAAACTATCATTTTGAATATTTTCATCTTGCACCAAGGATAACATGTGGCAACATTAATATCCTGTTTTATCAGACCGACTTCTGGTTCAATATACTATAGAATCAATTTTTCGCTGAAGGAATGATTCAGTGAAAATAAAATCCAGCAAATATACCCGTTTTCCTATATTTTACATTCAGCTCATCAAAAATCATTGAATATAAATTTCACACAAAACACCCAAAAAGTTTTTTTTAGCCAAAATTAATTCCAGCTAAAATAATTTATTTTACAGTACACTTTTACAACTTTATAACATCATGATATCGAAAATGAAAAAAACAAAAACAATTGGGGTCATCTGACAATTTTTTGAGATACAGAACGAAATGTCATCAAACATGATCAAAATATTTACACTGGTTACTATAGCAAGATTATATCTTCATATCTCAAAATTTTGCTGGGTGACACAGAGATGAACAAGGTATATATTATTAATGACATATACAGGTTGAAAATACTTTTTCATTATACATGATGGAAGACCACCTCCCATAGTGCATTTGCTTCTATGTACAGTAACTATGCTCAGGAGGGCAAATTTAGAATTCAGCTTGAACTGTCCTAAAGTGAAGAAGTAGTCACCTTTGCATATGGCAGATGTCCATAGAGTATCATTAACAAACAAGCATATACCCATAGCCTTAGAATTATTAGTGCATGTTGTTATTGTACATGTACAGGTGACAGTCCCTCCGCTACAAATGGAATATTTTGGAGTTTCTGGTCCCTGTGATTTCTATATATCTCAGCAACATGTGGGCGTGTTCAAATTCAATTCAGAATATAGATTCACTAGCTCCTGAATATCTTAATATGCAGTAAAGGAACCACAAACTCTTCAAATTGTCACCTGCCATATATTTAGCGAACTTAGGTGGCAAACAAAGACGAACAAAATAGAGAATTTGATGACATACACTGAAACTTAGTCTATCCAAGTACGCATGTACACAGACATAAGCATCTATATATTACTAGCACTAACAAGGTCAGACATTTGATGTAAATCTATTCCATTTGAGTGATACACGATAATTGAAAAATGTGCCTGACTTCATTCCAATGAACATAGGGCACCTAACAAAATTGGTTAAGTATTGCACTGCATTAGAGGTATTTGAAGGATTTCATTCAACAACCAGCAGCCTGCGAATTTTTCATACATTACAGAGTACTCCTTTCCCCTCACATACAATTATTGCTAAACTGCCTGAATTTTTGATGGATTTGTCACTTTGTAAGACTAAAAGAGTATTTGGATTCCAAGTGATTTTAGATTGCAGTAAATTGTCAATTGTTTGAAACTGACGGTCTATTTTCATCCAGGACATATTATTTATCACTGCAAAAAAAAAAAAAAAAAATCATTTGATATTGAAGAAATCTATTTTTGTACAGTATTCAAATTTTATTGTGCTTTGTGTGAGCATAGAATGGGACTCGCATCATGTCACATCATGTCACATGACGAGACTGAGCCTCCAGCACAAGATGATCTACGGTACATATTATTTAAACGGCGGCCATCAATCTATTGCAAAATGTGCCTTTTTAGCCAAAATGATATTTAAGCTAATTTAGCGGTATTCTGCAATTTTGCATTCAAGGTGTTGCTAATTTAACAGAAAGTTCACTCTCACAACGAGATAGTTCACACGCTAGGTAAATTCTGTTAATTCATGCATCGAGGCAAATTCGGTAAAATTGCATGTAGCTATAACACGTTTCACAGTATTCTCCATCATGGCTACCTGTATCAAAGCTAACAAAGCCGTTATTTTTCATCAAATAACTGGACGCATTTCATTCTGAACACCATATAACAATGGTGGAGTTTAAGACTGCATGATAGCTTGTCAAAGGAACACCACTTTTGATTGCATAAGGCAAGTTGAACATTTTATACAGTTTTTGATTATAAATTAGTGCAAGTTTTGGGGGTACATTTTAGGTTAGGGGTTCATTTATTACAAGGGCTTTTGGTCAAGTTACAGCCTGATTTGACATGTTTAACATTTTTAAAATAATTATTTACTAGCGTAGTACCAGTATTCAAAATGGAGACCTATACCGAACTCCTCACTTCTGTTGTATGCTAAACATACATGTTGTATGCTATGTCCAACATTCAATCACCAGAGGTTTGAAATTTTAATTAAAATCCAGCATGGAAACAAAAAACAAGTACAGTTGGGTCAACTTAAAAGGGGATTAGTCTATTATTTCCTGTGGGCACAGAGAATGTTTAGATAACCAGAAACCCAACAAAAAGCTGCAGAGTTTTGTTTCTGCTTAAGAGAATATTGGCTCACTGAGCCCCACTCCTCAATATCGTATTTGTAGTAGTGCATGCATTTGTGTGAATTGCATAGATTTTTCCACAATCCAAATGATATTTTATCAACTCAGTATACATCCAATGCAATGTTGGGTTTATATGTGCTTCTATTGGATTATTATTTGATGAAAGAGTTTTCTTGAAGGTTTGGTGTGCATACTACATGTATACATGTACAGGATGGAAAACAGTAGTGTTGGGTTTGAAACTGAAACTGAAAAAACACTGACACATGGGCCTCAAAATCAGAATAGTGCAGTTTATATAGGAGACTGAAACAAAGCATGGAACTGGAAGGAGGAAAAAGGCAAGACTTCCTGCTCAATAGAGCTGAACATAAAGCAGTGGTTTGTAACAACAGTCGACAACCTATCAACCTATGGCACGAATAATTAGTCAAATCAACAACAGTTTGACAATCGTACGTTAAACTCATTTATCAAACAGATTGCCCTTTTTGAATACTTGCTAAGGAATGCTTGGGTAATATGACAATATATTCGGGTTGATTCATGACTTCACCAAAACAGGTAAAGCCAACTGTGTTGCATGGGATGGTAATACTAGGGCTGACAGACAACTTGTTTTGAAATTGATGTCTGGCATTTTTTGTGCCAGGTAACATTATGTGTCAGACGTTTCTCCTGCACGCAGCATTCATCTGTCATCGTCCGCCCAGTTACTGACTTAAGATCTCAGGGGTAGGATAATTCATCAAACAGCATGCTCTTTATTAACAAATATTGGGACTTTCTCTTCTACATTTACCCTGACGATGTGTGAAGGCTCACTTCGATTACATCAAGTTTGTGACGGGTATGTCTAATTTGTTTACTGAAAAATGGACCAATAACCTATGCAGTGAGGGAACTGTCAAATTGATATTCCTCAACTGCTTCTTGCCCCACCCTCACAACACTACCACTGCCACCAACACCCGACCCCCAACTAGAGCGATGCTGGAGTTAAAAAGATTGTACTCTGCATTTTTGGTTATCTTTGGTTTCTATCCATCTTACAGGATCTTGAGCGCATGGTTTTTTGTTTGTTTTTTTCTCATCCAATATTGCAATATTGTAAATGGTTGACCTTAAAGTAGAACTTGAACTGAATACGTGACCTGGTGAATTTGACATCAACAGTGCAGCAAAAACAAATCAAAATCAATCAGATGAAAAAAATAAAACTACCACATGGATGACAATAATTCTAAAATATGTAAGCATAATACAAGCAAAACAAATGTAATATTGTACTAAATATAATATGGAATTCTTTCAGTCACTTTATGTACATGTAGCCAAAATATGGACAAACCTGAGCAAATATAGTATACTTTAGGGGACTGAATCAACACATATGCCGAGTGAGAATCAAGGCTTTTTAAGTTAACCTTTAGTCTTAAGCAGAGAGAAAAGTTCTGGGCTGTTCAAGTTACTTCAAGGACGCAACTACATAGTACCATCACAGACTGAACTCTTCTAACTCTATGGAATGAGGAGAATTCAGGTCAGGTGAAATTAATTTTATTTATGGTTATATGTTTAGACCAATAAATGTCAACAGTTTGAAATTGCAGGTCCTTGTGACACGAAACTGTGATCTGACTTAGTTACTCATCTTTGATTTGGGTCAAAATTGAATTGTATTCTATTCATTAAGCCACTTGTGAAAGTTAACTGCTGAAAACAAGAAACAAATAGTGGGCTGTTTGAGAAAATCAGTTGGCTCAACGATGTTTTACCACAAGACACAATAGCAAACAATAGTACATTTATGCTTATGAGAAATCAATTGATGGTTAAGCCCTCAGTCGAGGGATGAGATCATAGAGTCAAAACCACCTAAAATAAATACCAACGAGACAGAAACAGTTGTTTTATTAATAACAAAAGTCCACAGAAAATTTTAGGATAGAAAAATAGCATGTGAATCACAACAGGGGAAGAAAAGCACAACAGTTTCTTTGAAAAGCAGACTATGGGTATACATGCATTTCCAAGGGAGGGTGGCACCTTGCACAACTCTGCCACCAAGATGACACATGGCAGTTGTACACTAAGACAGTATTGACACGTCTCCAGACTCTCCTCATACGCTTATATGTATATACACAACAGGAACGCTATTCAATCCTGCACCTTTTATCTGTACTCACTTGTGGGTTTTGTGTAATTCCATAATCTTTTCTTCTAGTTCTCTTGCTTGATTTGGAGCAAAACGAAAGTCTGAAAGATAGGTTGGATCGGTTCCATGTTCTTCAGGGTCGTAGTCACCTAGTTCAGCTTGCACGATATAAGAGCCTAATAAAGCATGAGTTACAAAGGAACAGGGAAGCTTGCCCTTCAGTATGTCGTCTCTAAGCTGTAAAACCAGATGATACCTATAATAATAGAAAGTAATGATTAGTTGTATTTTTGTAAAACGTAGGAATCTAATTAAAAAATCAAATCAAATATTTTGTTTACAACAAGGGACTAACATAGAAATGGAAGGTATCGCTACATCACATAGACGTGGTAAAGTTCAACATAATTTTTATTAAATTAAATTTTAATAATTAAATTTTTAAGTTGTTTAAAAATTGGGATACAAACATGTTCGCAATAGAAAATTATGTCCATTTGTTTCAAATCCTCCCAAAAAATTTTGAAAAAAAAACCATAAAAATAAGCAAAATTTGGCACTCAAAATGGTTAAAACTGAACTTGTCATACAGTACTAAGTTAATATAGTGGGTACACATGATCCCCAGCATGTAGTATTCTCACAAGAAACATTTGACTCGTGATTTAATTTTTTGTCCCAGGTTTTTTTACTCCCACGAGACAAATGGTTTCACAAAAATGTAAGAAAATACAAGTGACAATAAGTGTTGAATAAAATTCAAACACAATAAACTAACGAGAACAAAATAGTTCATGTATGTCTAGTTTCACATGGATGGGTAATTATCTCATACTTTCTAAACTGATGGAACAATTCTACCCCATGTGTTTAATTTCTGGTAAGAACATTGAGCATGAGTTGGCTGGATTGGCCACTTGTACTTGTTTTTTTATCACACAATTATCACATTTTGAAACGGCAACAGGGACAACACTACTCACCTGGTGATATCTTCTTGTAATTGTGATGGGTCTGGGGGGTAAAACTTGACATTGAAATTAAAAACCCATGTGCCACCTGCAAAAATAAACAGACAAGATATTATTAAAATGATGAAAGATACATAATTCATACATAATCAAATCTGAGAAATATCACTATCATAAAAACAACCACATCAACCAAATACCGTATTTGCTCTATTATTAATGCATGCATACAGTGTGTCTAGTGAAAATATAATGGTGCAGAGTACAATAAATGCAATTTCTATTCTTTAATTGTTACTCGGTAGTATATTTTAGTTTACTTCTATTTGATATGGGCTTCTAATGGAGTAAAGTAATTACAACCAGCACATATAAACAACAAAGTACAACAAAACAGTTTTTTTTGAGAGAGAGAATTTACTGAATCATCATCTTATTTTCCACCTAAGACACCTGTAGAAGAGTTCTGTCCTATGATGTAGAAAACATCTTGTATACTAGAATAATAATCAATTTCCCAACTGCCATATGAGATGAGACGTTGCTGTGCAAGATAGTTTGCAAGCTGCAAGCAACTGAACTATCTAGTGTTGAGTTTGAACCTACAGGGAACATTGTAAACACATTTATTGGGATGTTCATTTGAGTTACAATCTAAATTTGATGAGATTTAGCTCATATACATCCCTAACTAGTCCACCATAATTGTTCTATTATTGGTGACATTTTAGAATGTTGTATTTCATGTCATTGACTATAAGCTAGGTAAAATGAATAATAACGGCGATATAAGATTATATCGAAAAGTGTGCACTCAGGCAGGCAGTACGGGACTGCATCAATCACTGATGATACAAACACCGTACTGCCTATGCTTTTGCATACTTGCGATATTCTCATAACATAGTATACACCTCGTAATATACAATCATTTACATTTTCATCAAAAAGATAGAAATGATTCTGGAATGCAAAAACGTTTTGATGAATTGCTTAATGATTTGCAATAGCAGCTGACAGTAAAGTGTTATTGAAATATGTTGATATAAAAGAGATGCACTGAAAACATTCTTTAAAGCGAGGGAATCGTCACCTGCGCATGCAGCAGACGACCATACCGTGTTGTGTCATTAACAAACAAGCGTCTAGCCATGAGCCTTAGCATTTTTAGTGTGCGTTGTTATCGTCGCTTGGGACTTGATTCTTGCGCATGCACAGGTGACGATCCCTCTACTTTAAAGCATATTCCAACATGATAAATGGAACATTTTGTAATAACACTAGCAGAGTAGTGCAGAGCACAAAATGATATCATGAAGGTCATACATCCTCGTATTTCATGAAAGTATTGTCGTTGTCTAACGGTAATAAAATAATGATTGTATACACAATGATGTACAGCAAGTATTACCAGACATGTAGCTGACATTGATGTAAACAGTAGCTGTGTTTGAGCAAAAAAATAAGTTTTTATTCAATATTTAACTTTTTGCTGTAATATAATTGCAGCTTGCCTGGCACACCTTAATTTCAAATTTCTAATATAGATAAATGAAACATTTACTTTCAAAATATTTTCATGGGAAAAACACATGACGATAACGATACAATGGTATCAATAAATTGATAGTTATTGATTTTTAACAATTGAACATAAATTGTTAGTGAGTGGAACCCAAGTAGATTATAAGACTCGTACATTTTAATGCACAAATCGATGAATTATTACAATAAACATTTACTGAATAAAAGGGGTTAAGAAATATGGAGTAAAAACCTATTAAATAAAGATGATTTTAGAGTAGAAGAAATGTACAGGTACCCTACTTTGTAACAGTATTTAAATGTAAATACTATGTCTTTATTCTGAATCAATAAGATAACCATAAATATATTTAAAGCACTATAATTGTTACACCATGTTGTGTTCGGTACTTACATTGTGTCATTCACTACAAATTTAGCCTGACATGTCTACATGTTTATCAGTCAGGAGTTTGGATTGGAGGGTTACAATTAAGATCATGATAGCTGAACCCAAACGCAACACTTTAGAATGTTGGGACCATGCATTGTTCTCAGGCATTTTTTGAGCATAGCAGTTTTATTAGGTGTTTTGAAAAAAAAATAGAAATTATTCTTATATGCAAATAAAAGCGACTGTTCAAAAATAATCTGCTTTTTATAGAAATTAGGTTTATATTGTTATGCAGACTGAACCAATATGATGTTCAGAGGAGGATACTTAATAAATAGGGGAATGAGATAACATCAGTAGTCAGATAAGTTTGTTGCATTCTAAACGAGAAATAACACTCAAGTTAATACTGTAAAATACTTCATTTTAGCTGGAATTAATTTCCCTAGAAAAGATATTTTTATGGATTTTTGACGAGCTGAATGTAAAATATGAGAAAAACATTATTTTCACCAATTTATCCCATAAATTCCAAGTGAAAATAAGATAGTTTACAGTACACTGTAAAATACTTTATTTTAGCTGGAATTAATTTTCGCTGAACAGACTTTTTACGCGTTTTGTATGGAATTTATTTTTACTGAATTTTGACGAGTGGAATGTAAAATGCAAGAAAAATGGTATATTCGCTGGATTTTATTTTCACTGATTCATTCCTTGATTAAAAATAACAAAATTAAATTACAAGCGAAAATAAAGCATTCCACAGTACCAAATTATTTTTTGTCATGGCAGCACATCATCACTAGAGGCGCTTTTTATTAAAAAGGTATATTGGCAACACCTCAGAGATATGTAAAATACTTATAAAAAATTGTCAGCAATTTATTACTTTGAATTGCATATTATGGATTATACAGATATGTGAAAAGTATTGGCACATGATACTAGGCAAATACACTAACCATAATTCCTTTATCCATTTGTTTAACATAAATAAACACCACACATTTTAATGAATAGCTGTACCCGAATTTTTAAATTTCTTGGATACCCATCGAATCCCACAAACTTGGGAAAACACAATCTTTTAAACCCAAACCTTAGCATCAGCTCTGAAGTGAGAGTAGACTACATTTATGTTATTAACAAATGTCAAACGTCAACAACAGCAATAATGAAAAGGTTTTAAACATAGACCAATGGTTTCTTGCTCAAGTATTTTACTAGGTCCTATGAAAATGTAGTTTCTATGTGGTTACTAGGGTCACTAAGAATTAGATGGCCATACTAAATTATAAATGGGAAAAGGTTTACAACATGTTGTGAACAAATATTGGTAGAATTATTGCCCTAAAAATATGTTGATCAGATGAGTGGATCAGTTTCTTGTGTCAAATGAAGTTAAACAAAGATAACTAATCATATGTGGAAGTGCTTTTTAAAAGAAGTCAAAGATTTCCTAATTTTTGCTGGACAATGATCACAATAATTGAGTGACCTAATCTGTCACTAATTTTATTTTCTTGCATTTTCAAAGAGGTAAATTTTACTGTACAGATATATTTAAAGGGTTAACAAACATGTTTTATTGTGATTTTAAATTTGTATTTGTGGCCTAACTACAGTATGAACAAGCTCCTGATTATGCAATTGCCATTATAACTAAATATGTAAATTACGTTCAACAAAATTGTCACAATGATGGAGTGAGGAGTCAATTGAACTGCGAAGGAAACAAAATTATTCATGGTTATATGGAAAAAAGACCAAATTGACTGCTGACTACCTCAAATACATATTTAATGAGATAGTATTAATGGTTCAAGAAATTATTGTTGAACCTAAAAGTCATATTAAATATTTACTTATTTTTAAATGTCAAATGGACAGGGTTTGAAGTTAGCTTATTTCACTGACACCGTGCTGAAATAAATCTGACTGAATATTCACATTAACCATAAAAGTTAAATTCTTGCCATTCACAGTGAATTTTAAACCCAGCAAATATTTCTCTGTCTGCAGTAATGTATATAGATTACTGTTACGAGTTGTCAGCATGTCACATGTATCAAAATTGCTAATCTGATTTTATTTAAATGAACATTGGAATTTTGTATTTCATTTTTTTTTTTAAAACCATAGCACGATCCTGGAAATATCTCTTACACCTGAACTGAAATATTAATACGGTAAACATTTATGGTTAATGCATCTGTGTCAGTTTTATTCCCAGATGACTCATTATGTTTGAAATGAAACAGAATTGACATCATCAATTTCATGAAGGTTAGTGACCGTAAATGAAAGAACCTTTAGTAGAAACGTATTCCAGACAGAAGGTAAATATTTGCTTTATGGAACAGTTAATTATACTCTGGCAATGGCAAAGTTAATTCAAACAAGGAACGTGCATGCAATTGAAGAACAAGGGGTGCTACATAATACTAGTCTTTTCAGTGTTCCGTGTATATTATAAACAACAAAACAAGTCTATGCTAATTATATGCAAATTAGAATGCTGATCTTGCATGTTATGTTTGTAAAGTACATTATTAACTGAACCACAGGGGACTACAATTAAAATTACGTGCAACTTTTCAAGACTGGAAAAATTGGGTTAATTGCAATTATGTCCCACATGTATCCTAATTCAACATAATATTGCACAAAACTAATTTCCATGAATTTCCAGTCAGGGTAAATAACATTTTATAACAATGAACATTTCACGAGGAGGAGGATTGGGAGGACTAAGACAGGGACATATGCTTGTCACAGAATTACTGTCCCTTAATTCTTAATATGATGAACATTAATTCAACAGTTTATCGAATTATGTCAGTTCATACAACCCTTGTATTTTTAAAATTTGAAAGAATGCTCAAGACGCATGGTACCGGTATTCCATGTAACAGGCAGCATATACCATAAAATCTGTATTAGAAGCCGCATCTCTAATATAAGTCGCTCCCATTTTTTTTGAACAATTGAGAACCCAACATTCATCATATGTGTAGATGCTCTAATAGAAGCAGCATACCCACTGTTGCATTCTACCATTTTAATAGAAGCCACGGCTTCTAATACAGATTTTACAGTAGCTCTTACGATACTGAATCTGATAATTTCATTTTCAGAATTGCAGGCAATAACAAAATCTCAAGGAG